TAGGCAAGAAAAAGAAGTGAAAGGCATCCAAATTGCAAAGGAAAGAGTAAAAACTGTCACTATTTGCAGATAAATATATGTATATGTGTGTGTATGTATATTTATACTTTATACTTATATTTATAAAAAACCCTAAAGACTCCACCAAAAACTGTTAGAGCTAATAAATAAATTCAGGAAAATCACTGGGTATATAATCAACATTCAGAAATCTGTTGCATTTCTATATATTCTATATACTATATAATACCAACTATCAGAGAAATTAAAGAAACACTCCCATTTACAATTGGATCAAAATGAATAAAATACTTAGGAATAAATTTAACTGAGGAGATGGAAGACCTATACTCAGAAAACTATGATACTGACGAAAGAGATTGAAGAGACAAGTAAGTGTGAAGATACTCATGGATTGGAAGAATTAATATTGTTAAAATGTCCATATTACCCAAAGCAATATACTGATTCACTGCAATCCTCATCAAAATCCTAATGGTACCTTTCAAAGAAATAAACCAAACAACCCTAAAATTTTATAGAACCACAAAAGATACTGAATAGCCAAAACAAGCTTGAGAAAGAAAAACAAAGCTGGAGGTAATACAGTATTTCAAACTGTATTACATTGCTATCCATAGTAACCAAAATAATATGATATTGGCATTAAAACAAACATGCAGATCGATGTAATAGAATACAGAGCCCAGAAATGAACCCACACAAATATAGTCAATTAATTTATGACAAAGCAAGAATATACAATGGGGAAAGAACAGTTGCTTTAATAAATGGTATTGGGAAAAGTTACAGCCATAGGCAAAAGAATAAAACTAGACTACTGTCTTATACTAAACACAAAAATTAACTCAAAATGGATTAAAGATTTAAATGTAAGTCCTGAAACCATAAAACTCCTAGAAGAAAACAGGCAGGAATCTCCTTGACATTGATCTTGGCAATGTTTTTCTGGATGTGTCTCCAGAAACAAAGGCAATAAAAGCATAATAATCAAGAGAGACTACACCAAACTAATCTGCACAGCCAGAGAATTTACCAAGTGAAAAGGCAACCTACTGAATGTAAGAAAATATTTGCAAATCATATGCTGATAAGGGCTTGATATCCAAAATATGCAAAGAACTTATACAACCATTAAAAATGAAATAAAGAATCTAATTAAAAATGGGCTAGAGCAACTGAATAGACATTTTTCCAAAGAATGCATACTGACGGTCAACAGGTATATGAAAAGGTACTTGACAGCTCATCGACAGGGAAATGCAAATCAAAACCACGATGAGATATCACTTCACACCTGTTAAAATGGCTGTTATCAAAACAAGAAGTTTTAGCAAGTGTTAGCAAAGATGGGGAGAAATGGAAACCCTTGTGTACTGTTGGTGAGAATGTAAATTAATACAGCCACTGTGAAAAATAGCATGGAGGGTCCTCAGAAAAATAAAAATATTCTGGAGAAAATTCCATGTGCACTCAAGAAGAATGAGTATTCTGTTGTTTTAGGGTGGAATGTTCTGTATATATCTATGAGGTCCATCTGGTCCAATGTGTCAATCAATGCTCTTATTTCCATATTGATTTTCTACTTGAATGATCTATTACTGACAGTGGCGTGTTAAGATCCCCTACTGTTAATGTATTCATATCAATATGACTGTTTATCTTGATTAACAGTTGTCTTATGTAGTTGGCTGCTCCCGTATTGGGGGCATAAATATTTACATTTGTTAGATCTTCTTGGTGGATAGACCCTTTAAGAATGATGTAGTGTCCTTCTGTATCTCTGACTACAGTCTTTAGTTTAAAATCTAATTTATCTGATATGAGAATCACTACCCCAGGCCCATTGACATGAAAGATGCTTCTCCATCCCTTCACTTTCAGTCTAGATGTATCCTTAGGTTCAGAATGGGTCTCTTGTAGACAGCATATGGACCGGTTCTGTTGTTTTATCCAGTCTGCAATTCTGTGCCATTTTATGGGAGCATTTAGGCCATTAACATTGACAGTGATTATTGAAATATATGTTTTTATTGACATGTTGCCTGTGAAGTCCTTATTTCTATAGATTGTCTCTGTAAATTTCTGTTTTATGACACTCTTGGGATCTTTCTTCTTTTATAGAATCCCCCTTAATATTTCTTATAGTGCTGTCTTGGTGGTCACATACTCTTTTAAACCTTGCCAGTCTTGGAAGCTCTTTATCTCTCCATGCATTTTGAATGTCAGTCTTGCTGTATAAAGTATTCTTGGCTGCATGTTCTTTTCATTTAGTGCCCTGAATATGTCTTGCCAGCCCTTTCTGGCTTGCCAGGTTTCTGTGGACAGGTCTGACATTATTTTGATGGACCTTCCTCTGTACGTAAGGAATCTCTTCCCTCTAGCTGCTCTCAAAAGCTCTTGTCTAAACTTATGATTCATCAGTCTTACAATCAAGTACCTTGAGGTCTCTCTAGAGTCCTTGGATGAATGGATAAAGAAGATATGGTCCATATATACAATGGAATATATATATCCTCCATCAGAAAGGATGAATACCCAACTTTTGTATCAACATGGATGGGATTGGAAGCGATTATGCTGAGTGAAATAAGTCAAGCAGAGAGAGTCAATTATCATATGGTTTCAGTTACATGTGGAGCATAAGGAATAACACGGAGGACATTGGGAGATGGAGAGGAGAAGTGAGTTGGGGGAAATTGGAGGGGGAGACTAACCATGAGAGACTGTGGACTCTGAGAAACAAACTGAGGGTTTTGGAGGGGAGGAGGGTGGAGGGTTGGGTGAACCTGGTGGTGGGTATTATGGAGGGCACATATTGCATGGAACACTGGGTGTGGTGCATAAACAATGAATTTTGGAACACTGAAAAAAATAAAATTAAGTAAAATTTAAAAAAAAAGAACTGTTATATGATCTATCAATTCCACTTCTGGATATTTAACTAAAAAAAATGAAAACACTAACTTGAAAAGATATACCCGTCCCCATATATATTGTAGCATTATTTACAATAGTCAAGATGTGGAAGCAACCTACGTGTTTGTTGGTATATGAATAGATAAAGAAAATGTGGGATGTGTATACAGGGGGATATTACTGAGCCATATAAAAGAATGAAATCTTGCCATTTGTGACAACATGGATGGACCTTGAGGGCATTATGCTAAGTGAAATAAGTTAGAGAAAGACCAGTACCATATGATCTAATTTATATGTGGAATCTAAAAATAAATAGACAAAAACATTTAAAGAATGAGCTAATAGATACAGAGAACAAAGTTGTGGTTGCCAGAGATGGGGGTGGAATATTGGAAGGTGGGTGAAATGGGTGAAGAGGTTTAAAAAGTATAGACTTAGCTATAAACTAAAGTGATCAGGATGTAATGTACAGCATGGTGACTGTAGTTAATAATCTATTGTATATTGAAAGTTGCTAAGAGAGTAAATCCTGAAAGTTTTTATCACAAGAACCAAAAATTTTGTAACTATATATGATGATGGATGTTAACTAGATTTATTGTAGTGATCATTTTACAGTATATACAAATATCAAATTGTGTTATACACCTGAAACTAATGTTATATGTCAATGTTATCTAAATAAAATTCTATCAAAGGATGACATTTGAAGAAATGTAGATATTTGTTTCTTAAGTCTATTCAGGTCATGTCAAGCTTTTGCTTTGTAAATAGAACTGTCCTTTCTCAGAGTGATTTATAAGATTTCTGGCCAGTTTGTCGATGTCCTGAGTATGCTCTTTTTCTTCTTCTTTTTTAAAATTTCTTCTTGCTTACCTTTTTGGAAGTGCATTGTTTTCTCTGAAAGTGTATGAATGATAAAAACTTAGATAAAACTTAAACTAGCAAATTTTAGTCCTTTTCACAAGCCCTGGTGAAATATTTACTTTCTTTATGCAATTTAGAATAGGGTCATAGAGTGGTGAGAAATGTAGTGGGGAACTGAGTGCTAGTTGAAATTAACAGATTGTGGTTGTTTATAGAACTTAAAATACTTTATCATAAGTCACCAGGAGCTTGTTTATTGCCTTTCAGATTTACCATTATTGGAATTTCTTCTTGTTTTTCATTTTGATATATAAATGTCATTGGTTCATGAATAACAAGAAGAATTATGATAGTTTATTCAAAGCTTTTCTGTGTAAATATCTAAGATGGAACCAGTTCAATCCAAAATTTAATTGTATACCTGTTATGTGTATAAAAATGTGCTAGATGTTTGATTTATAAGGGTTCAGATCAAAATACATATATTCCCACCAGTGGGATGTAAGGAGAAAAGGAATTCGTTAAAAAGGCTTTTGCCATAATGCAGAATCATTTAAGTCACAAGTAGATGATCTTATTCACCTAGGCAAGCATAAGCACTACATGTTAAGATTAAATTTACTTTTTACAGTAGAACCTACTGTAACTATTTGACATAATTTGTCAATAATATTTGACATAATTATTGTAAGCATTGAATTTCATTGTAGCATACTAGGGATAATAATCACAGGTTCAAATCAGACTATCTGGATCCAAATGCAGACTCCACAACTTATTAGTTGCAACACTGTAAAATGGGATAGTATGTTTCTTACTAAAGTGTTAAAGACTAATGAGTAATACATCTACGTATTGTAGAAGTAGTGTGAACTCTGGAGTCTGACAGACCTTGGTTCAAATTCTAATTCTGCCACTTGCTAGTGCCATTAGGCACTTGAATTCTCCAAGATTCAGTTTTTTCATTTATAAGTAGAGATAAGTAGAGATGATAAAGCCTAACTCAAAGAGCTATTGTGATGATTAAACAAAGCATTTTCAAGTTAAATTTCTGCAAGTGATTAAACAAAGCATTTTATGTACAACACTTAGCAGAGTGCCTGACATAAAAGCTCTATAAATAATGTTATGTTGTTATACAATGTACATCATGTAGAGACTCAGTTTTATCTTCTTATTCATGGTTTTAGGGTGAACCTGGTCTGCCTGGATACCCAGGAAACCCTGGAATCAAAGGTTCTAGGGGAGATACTGGTTTGCCTGGATTACCAGGGACCCCTGGAGCAAAAGGACAACCAGGCCTTCCTGGATTCCCTGGTAATATTCCTTTTCTTAAATGCTTCCTTCTCTCCTCCCTGTCTACTCTAACTCATCCCACAGAGCAACTTCTTATTTGGCAGACTGCTGTTCTCTTTCCCAATGAGATACTGACTAGCAACATAATCTTGAACCAGCTCTTTTAACTTTTCTTTGCCCAAATTTCTTTCTGTATAAAATGAGAATGAGTATTACCAGCTCAGCAGGACAATATCCTATGGGCAAAAACTATTTGGTAGTTTTATATATAGGGCATTATGCTAAGTGAAATAAGTTAGAGAAAGACCAGTACCATATGATCTAATTTATATGTGGAATCTAAAAATAAATAGACAAAAACATTTAAAGAATGAGCTAATAGATACAGAGAACAAAGTTGACTTATTTCACTCAGCATAATCGCTTCCAATCCCATCCATGTTGATACAAAAGTTGGGTATTTTCAATCTTTTGCTGCTAGCCACCAGTCAATTAAGAGGCCTTACTATTTTTGAAGGTGATAACATACACTACCAAGCTTTAGCCTGCCGCTGATTCTCTTAGAGAGTTGTGCTCAGGCACACAGTAAGGTGGCTGTTGGTAGGACAACTCTTCAGCTCATTTATATGATAAGGACTGAGTCATGCAAGCTAAGGGACTTAGCATTATAGTCAAGTAGGTAGCCTGAACTACCTTGCTATACTATCTGCTCTGGTTATGCTTGTATTTCATTTGTTTGTTTGTCTTTTGGATTGCACAGTGGCATGGATAGAGTGGGCCTTTGGTTATCTTTTCCTTAACATTTTACTGAAGTATAATGTAGAGTAAAATGTACAAGACTATAGATGAGTTTCCACCCATATATATATTCGTGTACCCACCACACATATCAAGATATAAAATAGTTCCCTTGCCTCATAAAGTTTTACCCAGGCCCCTTCACAGTGAAACCACCTCCCAAGGTAAGCACTACTGTGATTTCTATTATCATCAAGTAATTTTACCTATTTTTGAAATTAATATAAGTGGAATCATACAGGTTATATCCTTCCGTCTGGCTTCTTTCACTCATGTCTGTAAGATTCATTTATCTTGTTGCATGTGTCGGTAGGTTGGGTTTTTTTATAATTACTCTATAATATTCCATTGAAGAAATACGTAAAAGCAATTACCCATTCACCTGTTGATGGACTTCTAGGTTGTTTCTGGTTTGAGATTATTAAAAAAGATGCTGTTAACATTCTTTAACATGTCTTTTTGTGGACATACATACTCATTTCTCTTAGACAATAACTTCTTAGTATTATTACTGAATCATAGAGTAGGTATACATTTAACTTTAGTAGATGGTGCCAAAGTAATTTTATAAGTTACAGTCTCACATGCAATGTATGAAATTTTCCTGGGTGGCTTCTGGTGTCTTGTCGTGATTATATTGTGGTTAGTACTTTGTATTGTGAAATGTTGTCCGGTTTCCCATGTCCTCACCTCATTTGGTATCGTCAGTCTTTTTAATTTTAGCTGTTCTGGTGGGTACATAGAAGTGTCATACTGAAGTTTTATTTTACATTTTTAAATGAATGACAATATTAAACACCTTTCCATATACTTATTGGCCATTTGGATAGCATCTTTTTGAAATGCCTGCTCCATGTTTTCTTACTCACATTTATTAGATTGTTTACCCTTTTTTCTTATTGACATAGGACAGTTCTTTATATATTCGGAATATGAGGCCTTGTCAGATACATGTATTACAAATACATTCTTTCTGTCTCAATTTGCCTTTCATTCCTAATGCTGTTGTGTGATATTTTCTTAATACTGTTGTGTGACGATCAAAAGTTATTTTTTTCAGGGTGCATGGGTGGCTCAGTAGGTTGGGCCTCTGCCTTCCGCTCAGGTCATGATCTCAGGGTCCTGGGATCGAGCCCCGCATCGGGCTCTCGGCTCAGCGGGGAGCCTGCTTCCTCCTCTCTCTCTGCCTGCCTCTCTGCCTACTCGTGATCTCTCTGTCAAATAAATAAATAAAACCTTTAAAAAAAAAGTTATTTTTTTCAAAAGTTAATTTTAATAAAGTTCAGTTTATTACTTTTCTTTCATAGTTAGCGCTTTTTGTCTCCTATTACAAAATATTTGCCTATTCAAGTTTATGGAAATATTCTTCTATTTTTTCTGTAACATTTAATATTTAAGCTTTTATATTTAGGTTTATGATTTGTTCAAATAAAAATATTTTTATGGTGTGAACTAGGGGTCAAGGTTCATTTTTTAAATACAGATATTCAATTGCTCCACACTGTTTTTTTTTTCTTTTAAAGAACCTGAGATCTTCTGTTCTTCTGCTCATCAAAAGACACCGTTAAGGAAATGAATAGGGAAGCCACAGACTAGGAGAAAATACTTACAAAACATATATCTGACAAATAACTGATATCTGGGATATGTAAAGAGCTTCTACAATTCAATAATAACAAGATATACAATCCACTTTTTTTAAATGGGGAAAACTTTGAACAAATGTTTCACAAAAGAAGATATATGGATGGCTAATAAGCACATAAAAAGGTGATCAATATTATTAGCTATCAGAGAAATACAAATTAAAACCACAGTGAAGTAGCACTATATTCCTACCAGAATGGTTACTATTAAAACAACTGATATCGCCATATGTTGTACAAGGATCTGGAGCAAATGGAATTCTTAAATACTGTTGTGAATGTCAAATGGTTTGGCAACTTGTTTTTTTTTTTTTTAATGAGGTGCACCATATGCCTACTCTGTCTCAGCAGTTCCATTCCTATCTAGGTATTTATCCAGAATAAATTAATACATATATCCACAAAAATACTGGTGCAGAAATATTCATAGCAGCATTACTCATAAGAGCTAAAAACTGAAAGTAGAGCAGGTTTCCATAAATAGAATAGATATTTACAATATCTAAAACCTGACAGTGACCCAAATGTCTGACAATAGATGAATGAATTAAAAACTTGGTATATCCACACAATGGAATCCTACCAGTTCTACCAGTGTAGTATTGTGGTGTAAAATAGTATTATTTTTATTATGAATATATCATAATGCCAGCCTGTGGATAAATAACTTTAAAACTTAAAATTACCCTTAAAAATGTTCAGCAAATACCAGCATCTTCCTTGCTTTTTCCCCCATTCTTCACCGTTTCTGTGCTAACACTATAAATTGTAATTTTGAGCTGTAATTCTTAAAACAGTGCAGTTTTTATTTCATTATTAAATTGAACTCTTCATTCTAGGAACCCCAGGACTTCCTGGAGCAAAAGGTATTAATGGTCCTCCTGGGAACCCTGGCCTTCCAGGAGAACCTGGTCCTGTAGGTAAGTATAAAACCTAAGGATTAGTTGTAAAACTAAGGCTCATATTCATTTTGGGAAAGTCAAATCATTTCTGGGAGCTGTGAACATTTTTAAGACAAGGAAACACGATGATCATTCACTTAGTTCTACTTGTTACGTACAAAGTGAGCAACTCTTTTTTTTTTCCTTAAGATTTTATTTACTTATTTGACACAGAGAGAGATAGTGAGAGCAAGAACACAAGCAGAGGGAGTGGGAGAGGGAGAAGCAGACTCTCCACTGAGCAGGGGCCCACTGACCTGGGGCTCAACCCCAGCACCCTGGGATCATGACCTGAGCTGAAGACAAATGCCCAACCGACTGAGCCACCCAGGTGCCCCTGAAGTGAACAACTCTTAATAAAAGTTACTTAAAATTATTACTTTGGAGCCTTATTTGGGGGTTCTTCCCAGGGAGAGTTATTTCAAGTATCCTACAATTAGTGGAAGGTCTGGTGTTTTTCAGAATAGCAAAGTATAGCAAAGTAATTCACTGAATTCTAAAGCAAGTCACTTCTCTGGCCCCATATGTGAGGCCTGTAGTAGCACCCCATTCCACCTCCACATCTTACTCTCCTTGATATTCTAAAGCTAGATTAAAATGAGAAACTGAAAGTTTTGGGATACTGAGTTTATAATAAATTTCTTCCTTATTCTTATCAGCCTTTATTTCTTATGTGCTTCTTTTTCAAAAGATTTAGTGTTTTATTTTTTTCCATTTTATTTTATTTTATTTCTTTTCAGTGTTCAGCATTCATTTTGTGATCTAAAGGGGTGTCTCAGAGGTACTTTGTGTCATTTGAACAGAACTATTTGAGGCTAGTGTGGAAAGAATGGGGAATATAGAAGGAAAGGGAATTGGGAGGATAGGTATAACCTTCTATACCCTGTGCTTTTAGGTGGTGGAGGTCGTCCTGGGCCACCAGGTCCTCCAGGTGAAAAAGGCAACCCAGGTCAAGACGGTATTCCTGGACCAGCTGGACAGAAGGGCGAACCAGGTGCTCTATTTTTTATTGTTCCTAATTTTCTAATTTCTTCCTTGTCTTCTTTAACTTTTGCCCTTTTTTACCCACAATAAAATTATATCTTCTTAACCTCTAAGCTACTACACACTTTTCCCTTCCTACGTATCTTCTTGCAATCTATACTAAGAATATTACTTCACGTTTATCAATCAGGATACCTCTTTCTTATAGAAAACTCTATATCCTTTCTTGCCCAGTTTTTCATGTGAAGTTACCGAGCTGCTTTTATCTTTTCTACATGACTTTGTTTCACTATGAAATCTATATTCCATTTATAGATCTATATGTATACAAAGATGTATTTAATGCTTATCACAAGTAGAATATGTTTTTATAGTTTTCTCATGTTAGAATTATGGTTCCATGTTGGAAACAAACCTTCTGCATCTTTTGTATAACATTGTAACACTCAGTAAACAACTGAACGATCCAAAATAATTTGGCCTTGTTTTATTTATTATTATCTATTTGAGATTTTTGGTTTATGCTCTGACAGGTCAGCCGGGCTTTGGAATCCCAGGACCCCCTGGACTCCCAGGACTTTCTGGTAAACTTTAATAAAACATACTAGATCAGTCCATATAACGAGTATGTGTTCCAGTACATTTATTTTTCTGTCTCTACCATTTACTGTTACAAAATGCACATACAACCCAGAAAACTCAAAGCTAAAGTTATAGCTTAAAGCAGTTCTTAATTAACAATTTAATAGAAAGAGTTGTGCTATATAAAAATGCATTCTTAAATAAATTTACATATAAATATCCCTTCGTTGATTTCATAAGTAAATGCTGAGGAAATGATAAAGAAAGCAAATTTGTAGAAAGTTGTAGATTTCACTAATTTTTTTTAAAAGTCTTTCAGCCAGAAAACAAAACAAAACACTCTTTTCTCCTCATGGAAACAAAACCAAGGTAATACTAGGAAACACTATAGAAATCTGTACCAGTAATAAAAATGGAAAACTTTGTATTAATATGCATCTTGTGTTTTGGGTGGGTATATGCTCATACACATCTTTGTGCAATCTCTTGTTCTAACTTTCGTTGTAAGCACCAGAGCATTAATTGAATGACTAAATGTGTGTACAGATATGCTTGTTTATGTTCTGAAATGCCCATTAGCTACTCTATGGAAGTTTTTTTCAAACTACAGACATATTGCCTAGAAATTCCTATATCCTTCCCATGATCCCAATGTCAGAATCATTACTTTAATGTGCTACTGTTACATTGCTTTCAGGCATGTTGGTGGTATAGAAAAAATGTTGAGAATAGTTTGGGTTAGGATTCTGAATCTTGAATACAATTGTCTTCAGGGACACACAGTAACCATTGAAGATCCATATCTTCATTAGTCTCAAAATTAGCCTCAAAATATATGTTTAAGGAATTTCCTCCAGCCATCTCTAACCTGTTCATGCCAATACTTTAAACCTTTCTATTTTTTTGTTTTTTATTTTCTTGCAGCTATCAGTCATGTGATCATTGCTCTGTGTCCTAATACAAAGGATATCTTTCAGAATCCAAGCTATTATTGTTTTTATATTTCTATACATACTCTAATAAATATTTCTGATAACAGTTGAATATATTTCATAAAAGGAATGGGTTTTTTGGACGGGTGAGGGATTTGGTGGGGGATAGAACTGATCCTGGCAAATCCCATCGCTTGTTCTAATAAGAATGAATAGATTTAGCCTCACAGGCAAGCCTATTACAGGCAGTATCATTTAATGTGTTTCTTAATGTCACTTTGCTTTCATAGGTCAAAAGGGTGATGGAGGATTACCTGGCATTCCAGGAAACCCTGGCCTTCCTGGTCCAAAGGGAGAACCAGGCTTTCAGGGTTTCCCTGGTGTGCAGGGTCCCCCAGGCCCTCCTGGTTCTCCAGGTCCAGCTCTGGAAGGCCCTAAAGGCAACTCTGGGCCCCAGGGTCCTCCTGGGAGACCAGGTATGTACATGAGTGGTAGGGTAATGGTCTCTATATTCGTTAATGTATTTCATTTTGCTGGCAGGTTATTCAGTCTTTAGGACTTTAGACTCTATAAGAACTCCTTACTAATAAATAACTTATTTTATACCTAGCTCCATCCATTTCTGTGGCATCTAATAATTCTTTTCAGTAATGTATTTCATCATTTACTTAAAGTTGCTAAAACAAACCACTTGGAGGAAGAAAGGAAATAGTGGATTTATTAGTCTCTTTATTAAACATTAAACTATACTGATAACCTGGCAGCAAAATGCCATCTGCATTTTTAATGTGAGCTTCCCAGCATGTTATCACAGAAATCATTTTAGTGATCACCCCATAGATGCTTGTGGTCCATACCAAAAGTGTTGCTATGGTTCTGTCGTATGATCAGCAAATGTCACCAAACACAATAAAAAAATTTTATCTTCTCTAGGAACTAGGCAATCAAATTTATCTTCAACATCACAGCATGATTAAATTGAATAGCGATCTCTTCATACCAGCTTCATGTCTCTACCTCATTTGTCCTGTGTTAACTGCTCTTTTAGTCTCAATTTTGCATCCAGTGTTCACTTTTCATTTTGTGTATGTGCTTTGTCACTTCATTTTGCTGTTTGGAAATGCTTGTTTTCATCAGGGATTAATGTTGCTGAGCCCAGCACTGGTGACAGATTATTAACAGACTTTTGGGACTTAATATTCAGTTTTTATATTTTGAGAAATTAAAAACTTGGCCCTCATTGACTTAAAATATTAAGAGAAATCTAAACGTAAAAAGAAACAAAACATTTATCCTTTTAGCCTTTGAAAGTCTCTGACTCATTTTTAAAATGTATTTAAAAATAAAAATCTCCATTTAAATGACCATAAACTCTGAAGTGATTGGAGTTAATTTTAATAAGATATGCTCTGAAAACATAAATAAAATGGGATAACATACTTTGTTCAGAGGATCATTTTCAAAACCAGATTTTATCCAATCTGAGTTGGCTGTTTATAGAGGGTGTTCATAGTTTTACCTTGTTTTACTATTGAAGAAAACCAGTGAAAACCACCTCAGCCATATTAACTCTTGCATGTCAAGAATTGACACCAATGTCTTGCTTGTTATGCATGTTATGTTTGCATGCATGCAAACATAATTTGTTATGCATGTTATGCTTGCAATGTTATGCATGCAATAATTACAAAATAAACCAAACTGTTATCATTTTTTATAATTGGCACTCTGATTATTTGTCCTTTACTGGTAATGGAGCTCACTGTAGAACATTTTTGTGAAATTTGTCAACATAAAGTCATTAGTCACAAAAGTGCTTTTAAAAAATTTACTGTTTCTAAATAGCAGGAAGAAAAACATCTACCTGATGAGTAGTTTGTGACTTCTCAGTTTGTTCATAAACTACAAATTAAAATGTAGTTTTAAACCAAGTTGATCTTAGAGTTAATTATTTTTGAGCTCATGGTAATGATTATTATAAAACTTTTTTTTTTTTGCCTTTCAAATATGTCACATGTGCTGTCTTTATTTTAGTGCTGATGCTAAGTGGTAATAATTTGGTTTATCTACAGGTGCATGAATGTGAACTTCCAGAGTATTCTTTTATTGAATTAAAGTTTAACTTGAAAGAAGTTAGAGTAATGCTTTAGTTTCTTGATATTGCTAACAATTTTGATATTTTTCCTTTTTGTTAATGATGACATTGGGCCTTGGTGAACTTTGATCCCTTATCCAGGTCCTCCAGGTTAGCTCCTTAACTCCAAAGTAGTAACTGCATGAACTTTGAAACTTTTCTTAAATATATATACGTATATATATATATACATATATATATATACACACACACACACGTATGTATATGTGTGTATATATAGTTATACATATATACATGTATATGTATACATATATGTATATGTGGTATACGTATGTAATTCAGTATATAATTCCTCTCTCTCTCCATATATATATATATATATATATATCTACCTAATATTTTCAAGTGCTTGCATGTATTTTAAGAGCATATATGCCAGTTCAGTTCTTACATGTTGGTCTATCTCTGAAAGTTGAAAGAACTGTAGAGCCCAATATTTCTATTGGAATAACCCCAAATTACCTAGTTAGGAAAACTAATTTAACATTTTAAAATTCATATTTTTTGTCATTTTTAGTCAAACACTTATAGTACCCAAAAGTATATTGTATATTTTAGCTTTACCTTTAGAGTATAGTATATTTCTTATTTTTGTTTTATATCTATTAATGTAAATGAAATCAAACTATCCTTCAAAAAGGCAATCTTTTTTTAACTTTTTATTTAAATTCTAGTTAGTTAACATAGAGTGTAAATTGGTTTCAATTATAATTTAGTGATTCAGCACTTAACAAATAATAGACAGTGCTAATCACAAGAAGTGTACTCTTTAATCCCTATCTACTGTTTCACAAAACATCAGTTTGTTCTCTATAATTAAGAGTCTGTCTCTTGGTTTGTCTCTCTTTTTTTCCCTATGCTCATTTGTTTTGTTTCTTAAATTCCACATATGAGAGAGGTCATATGGTATTTGTCTTTCTCTCACTGACTTATTTCACTTAGCATAATACTCTGTAGTTCCATCCATACCATTGCAAATGGCAAGATTTCCTTCTTTTCTTTGGCTCAGTAATTGTGTGTGTGTGTGTGTGTGTGTGTGTGTGTGTGTGTACTACTCTTCTTTATCCACACATAAGTCTGTGGACATTTGGGCTCTTTCCATAATCTGGCTACTGTAGATAATGCTCCTATAAACATCAAGGTGCATGTATTCCTTTGAATTAGTATTTTTGTATTCTTTAGGTAAATACCTAGTAGTGCAATTGCTGAATCATAGGATAGTTCTAGTTTTAATTTTTGAGGAACCTCTGTACTGTTTTTTTTCCACAATGGCTGTACCAGTTTGCATTCCCACCAACAGTGTGAGAGGGTTACCCTTTCTCAATATCCTTGAAAAGGCATTCTTTTTTAAATAATAATATCTATTATCAGACCCTGTAAATATGCAATTCTTGACTTGCCACAACTCTTGTAATTTTTCAGACCATCCCATCTTCATCTTTTGGGTTGTCACAAAGTTCTAAATTCCCCTGCTATGAATGAAGTAATAGGTACACAGTAAAAAAAATTCCATACAACCAACACAGATTAGAAGCCTTTTACTCTTGTTTGAATCGTACGCATATAAACATTACACACCAAAGAACAGTTACCAGGAGCTGTCCAATGGAAAATTGCTGATTCACAGTGAAAGATGTTAACTTAATTAGGAGTAAAGGGAACCACAAATAGTTGAATGTGTTTATTACTTCAAGATAAATAGATCTTTTCAAATTTCTGAGGAGGAACTAAAATGGCAAAAAGGTATATTCTTGAGTTCTGACTGTAGGGAATGGCGGGAAATATTCTTTTATGAATTAAAGTTCATGATTTTTCAAGATTCTTTTTAGGAAGCCATCTATCTCTATCGGAACAGATTCACTAGTTACCTACTCCTACTTACTACTTCAATCTTTCCACAAATGCATAATTTCATAGAGCCATAGAGTATCTGATCTAGAAGAGACCCAAGTTTTATACTTAAGATATATTACTCACCAGACACTTGTTAAAGATGGCAAGACAGGTTTTATTTAAGACTATTGTAGTAGGGGAGAGACAGTTGCAAAAGAAACTGAGCTCAACTGAATAAAACAAGGATAAATGGGGATTTATAGTCAACCAGCAGAGTGAGGGAGTCAGTGGATCAAAAGTTATTAACATGAAACGTTAAGGGTAGGTAGGTTCTTGCTAAACTGGCCTAATAGAATTCTTGCTAAAGTCAGGCCAAAGACTTAGACATCAAGATTGGGGGATAAGGGACTTGATCAGATATCAGCAGTGGGGGGATTATCCATAAACTGACTTGCTAAAGGATTCTCGCTAAAAGTAGACTTCAGCATACCAAGTAACATGGCCCAAGGATGAGAATAAGGCTCAGAGGAGAATAAGGTTGATAATAAGGCTCAGATGAGCCTGCCTAAAGTTTAGTCAAGGAGAGATTCTTCATCGCATATGAGAAAACTGAGGCCCAAAGATGTTAAGAAGCTTGCCCAAGGTCATACTGTTTGTCACTGGAATAGCTGGGAATCTGACTTAGGGCTTGCCAGTGCTCTGTTAAATGTCTGTTTTGCTACTAGCATATATCATCCTCCAACAAAGGCAGTTGTATGGCTCAATGCTTATGATCTGGCTTCTTACTCTAGTTATAAATATAATAAGTGATGAAGCAGAGCTCCTTTTGCCATTTTATTAGATTCTTAGTTATAGCAGACTGGACTTTGCCTCCACTCTTGTTTTCTGTTACCGCATAAGTTCTATCAATCCCTATTAACTGCTTCTTGTGTTTTTCCGAAATGGATGTCATCAAAAAGATTAAGACAAGTGCATACTATTTAACTATCACCATGATAAAAAGAAAACTTAGGGCATACATTGAAGTAATTTTGAGTACTCCCCTGACTGACTTGCATAGAAGTTGGCTGCTTTTGATCACTTCCAGATTTTAGTGTTGGCTAGAAGATTGCTTTCTTCTGAGGCACTAGAATATATTCAAAGAAGAAACAGGGAAGTAGCCATATCACTTTAAAACCAACTTGACCTCTTATTTACCAGATGTACTATAAATTACATAGTTATTGGAACCTGATATCTACAGTGTTCTCTTTACAACAGTGGAAACTGGATTTAAAATTGATGAGCTCTGTGTGTTATACACAAATGATGAATCATTTAACACTACATTGGAAACTAATGATGGTACTATATGCTGGCTAATTGAATTTAAATAAAAGTAAGTTAATAAGATAAAATTTGCCGATCAGTTCATCAGCTTATCTTTAGTTATTACCACTTATGAATAAGACTAGTTTTTTATTTTGGCTTTTTTTTTTCAGTTAAACTTTGTTAGGTCATTTGAGAAATAATAGATCGAGACCTTCATGTACAAAATTGACTTGGCATATAACTCATTAAAATTTTATCTCTTAGAAATTAAGATCTTAGAAGTTTTGCTATGATGTGATCAGAAGTTTTCTTTGTTACTTACTCAGACCAAAATACATATTTCAGTGACATTTTTCTAAGCATTCTTATTATTGGTCCTTCTATAGCAAATACATTTTATATAAATGTCTAATCAAATTCAGAATTTTCTTAGGTAGGAATTCTGTTTTATTTAACTAATTATGTGGCCAGACTCTCAAACTGTGGTCTTGAGTCAGTTTGCTGTAGGTGGTTTAGAAACCATTTAAACAAACAGAACCCGATTTTTAGCCTTCTGAATTTCAAATTATCAAATGCTGTAAAAGTTTTATTACCTGGCAGTGATAATAATCTTTTATATTTATGTAATGTGCCACCATTTACATCATATAATGTACTTTTATTAAAAGCTCTTTGAAGGCAGAGTTAGGGTGTAGCTAATCTTTGTGTTCCCTGTAGCACCTTGCACATGGCAGATATCAGGTCTTTATTTTTTAAATGGAATTTGATCTTTAAAACAACTCTGTGAGGGAGGTTATGGCAGATAACACTGTTCCCATTATGTGGGTGAGAAAACAAGCTCAGAGAGACTGAATTGTCTTCAGTCCCATAGACGTAAATAGTAGAATCAAGAACAGACCCTTGGTCTTCTAATTTCTAGGATTCAGTGCTCTAGCACAGTTTATTCTCTCTGCTAAGCTCAGTGTTTATAAATCATAGCAAGACTTCTAAGGAAAGGAAATTGTGTTTATAGTTAATTAACATTAACCAAGAGTTGTCCTATTTATAGGCTTTTTATCTTTTTATTTAATGATCCTTCTTTTAATAGTTAATAGCCTGATTTAATATGGGCATTGAATAAGGTAATTGTGATATTTTCTGTGGTTTGGGGTAGGATATTGCATGTCAAAATATTTTTAATGTACCCATTCACTGATGGTCTTCACAATTTTGGAAAATTTGGCTCTTTATTTTAACATTCAGTGGTGAACGAATACATATTGACTCTTTCTCTTTAAATAACTTGTTGTAAGTATAATTCACAGAAGAAAACTTCTTGATGAATTATGAAAAAAAATCAGAATGTGGCTTCATAGAATGATTTTTAAAGAAGGCAAATAAAAGTACAGTTGGTAATGGCCATTGCGTACTTTTATTTTAATTTATTTAGTCACCTGTGATCTTTGTATTTTTGTCTAATGAGGCCTTTAAAGTTAAGTGTACCTTTTTGAGGCAGTCTGAACATATCAAGAAATTTATGCCTTGGGTTTTTACTAAAGGAGGACAGAGGCCAAGATAAATGTAAGCATTTATCCAAAATTATCCCTTTGTGAAGGGAATGGAAGGCAATCAGCGAAATGGTACTGTCTTACCAGCTTTAATGCTTGCAATGCTAACTTTTGGAAAGCCACAGTAGCAGGGTTAACATGATATCTTTAATAGTGTTTTCCATTTTTTGGATTAATGAAAATTAGCAGCTTATTTCCTATAATAAGCTCTATTTGAAAATGTTTGGCTCTCTATACTTCTGTATGGTTCTGTTTGCATACTGATTACGCTGTAGGTATGAGAAATGCTGGCAAAGAGGATTATTGTTTAACTTGTGCTATAATGTGAACCACTTCTAACTCATAATCTTATTTTGTACTGTGTGATGTCTGATACTGCTAACATCGATCTTTGGGCTTTGGTGAACTCTGATCTTCCCAGGTTTTCAAGGTTAGACTCTTCACTGGTCAATTCTTTTTTTTTTTTTAATGTTTTATATGTATGATAAGAGAAATGCACTTTTTTTTGCTGTAACTCAGAAGTCATTGAAGAGGGCTGTTATCCTCAAATACTTCCTGCTCTGGTATTTAACATATTGGTGAAGGTAATGTGACTTGTTTATAATCAAGTTTGAAATGACACTAGGTTTTCGTAGTTTGAATTTTTTATAATCAGTAATCCATATGTGAAGACATGGTGAATTTTAAATAGTTATATTATCTTTAAGACTGCATTAAGATTTTTAGACAGGCATCTGGTGCATTTGTAACCTATACATACTGGTTTTTGTCGCATGACGTTTCTCCTGATACGTGTCTATGTGGCTCTTTTAAAAAATGAAAGAGGGTTACTATTGAGTACTATTAAAAGTAAAATATATATGTCCCTTATATAATTAACAAATCATTAAATTTGAGGGACTCCAGAATGGCAGGTCTGAATTAATAACATGTAAATTATCCAATATTTTCTTTTAATTGCAGAAAGAGCAATGACCATAATATGCCTAGTTGTTTTTTGTTTTTGTTTTTGTTTTTCAAATATTCTGATAACTTTTCAGACTGGGGAAGAGGATCATGAAAGATTTCCTTTTTTCCCGATCTTACTCCTACTTCCTCATTGTTAGGTTGCTTAAGAGGTAGTTTAAATTTTTTTCCCAGAAAGTTTACTACCGGATTTTGAGTCCAAATTATACATTATCGATGAAACTAATACCTTTGCTTAGAAAACCCTGTCTGAGGATGTGAACCCAGCAGTTGCTCTTCTTTGTTTATTTTAGTGCAAAGTACTCCAACCCTTCATGATTGGAAAGGGAATTTCTAAGTGTTTCTGCCTGGTTGCTGGCCTTGGGTGGCTATATAATTTAAACTGTTTAAAGATAAAACAATTGTTGTATTGTTGTGGACCTGCTTCCTCTTTCTCATATGCCAGATGAATAGTGTTATATTATGAAATCACATAGAAATAGCTGAAAGTTTTAAAATGGGCTCATATTTTAAAGATATGTTCTTACTTTCAGTTTTACTAGTAATGAAGGTAATGGTAGGAATAATAATTTGTAAAAGCCTCTTACATAATTCTTACTGTGTACCAGGCACCATTTTAAGTAATTTATACATACTATCTTATTTAATCCTTGGATCAACCTGATGAAGTAGGTACTACTCTTATTTCCATTTTATTTTTTTTAAAGATTTTATTTGTTTATTTGATACAGAGAGAGAGAAAGAGAGCGAGAGAGGGGACACAAGTAGGGGGAGTGGGAGAGGGAGAAGAAGGCTTCCCGTGGAGCAAGGAGCCTGATGTGGGGGTCTATCCCAGGACTCTGGGATCATGACCTGAACCGAAGCAGATGCATGTGTAATGACTGAGCCACCCAGGCACCCCTCTTATTTCCATTTTAAAGAGGAGGAAATTGAGGCCAAGGAGATTAATAAACTTCCTTAGGTCTAACAACTAATTAGTCTAACAACTAATAATTATAGAAGCTGGGATTCTAACCCAACATTCCAGCTCCAGAGTCCAACATTCTTAATCCATATGCCATGCTGCCTTGTTAGCATTAGTCATTGATTCAAGTCTTAAGAGTATTGGAAGGGAACTAAAGTCTGAATTTTATCTCAGATCAGAAAAATGACCCTCTGTCCGTAGGTAAGCATGAACTCAAGTATTCTAAATTCATTTGCCTATGATATTTCCTTCAAAAGTAATCACTACATACCTTCCCTTTTTTGTTGAAACCAATAAAAAACTAAGATTACCAAAGAAGGAAATGTATAGGTGCTAAGTGTTGCCTGTTCATCATTTAGTGCTTCACACTTAGTTTCTTAAGGCAGAACTAGTTGGTCTTAACTTCAGTTACTGCTTAGCAAGCAAATAACAGCTATTTCCCACCTAGCGACAAAAGATGCCACTGATAAGATCTTTTTGGTTATTTAATAGACCTGATATCTTTATTTAGAATGAAAAGTTAAAACAGTATAAGGAAAAGAGCTTAGCAAAACCCAATTTTAAATAATTTCATTTATTCCTAAGACATATGCAGAATTTTTCTTCAGAAATATTTAAAATGCAAAGAATATGAAAACATGTTTAAAATAAATTCAAAGGTACTATATTGAATTAATAAATTTCTGACACTAAAATGTTACCATATATTAGTAAGCATGTCACTAAAATGAAATTAAACAGCTTGCTTAAGTAACTGTCTTAATTGCGTAGTAATAAAAGCTGAATGAAACTACTTACAAATACTACTTACAAAATAATTACTTATAAGTAAAGCAATCTACTGTTAATCACAGTGTGACAGATGACTTGAATCCCTGATTGCCCTACAGTAGTGATTCTTAAGGTGTGATCTGAAACCAGCAGCTTTAGTTACAGGGCACTTATTAGAATGCACTTTTGTGGGCCCCTCCCCAGCCTTTCTGAATCCAGAATTCCTGGGTAAGCCCAGGAGTCTGTTTTAACAAACTCTCCGGGGGATTTTGATGAATGCTTCAGTTTGAGAACAGTGCCCTATGTATAGTGTTTGTTTCTTTTCACATAACCGAAACCCTTTAGGGATCACAGAAGCAGTCTTTGTTTTAATGTCCTGAGTTCTGTCTTTAAATATGAGCTTATTCAATTTAATGTATAATAAAATGTAAACTAAAAGGGACTACAGACCAGTGTTGATAACAAAAAGAACCTATTGCAGTTTATATTAGAGAGTCAGAATAGGTCTTTATGTTTTGATATACTCTGGATTTTATCCTGTAAACTAATAGGATTTAGAAGACTGATATTTTAGAAGCCAGGGTTTTTAAACTACTCTTATGCTATACTGAAATATGGCCATTTGTTGTGCACTGTCAAGGTCTACCAGGTCCAGAAGGTCCCCGGGGTCTCCCTGGAAATGGAGGTATTAAGGGAGAGAGAGGAAACCCAGGCCAACCTGGGCAACCTGGTTTGCCTGGTTTGAAAGGAGACCAAGGACCACCAGGACTCCAGGTAGGAAATGGGAGTAGAAATTTGATGAGAAAGGAGTGTGGGCATTTTCATTCAAAATGAGAATTCTAAGCTACATTATTTTTATTAGTATTTACTGGTCAAGGCTCTATGCATGCCTCCTAGTGAATTACAAAAGAAGAGAATGGCAAGTTTTCTATCTTCTTTCAACTAAAGGGACTTAGCTGCTTTATAGTTAAAGGGTTCCTCAGAAGATATTTTACCTAGAGTCATTGATATGTACGTTATTTAGGTTTGAGAACCCTTCATTTCAGTGAAAGCAAATTCATAAAAGAATATGCATATATCAGAACATTACATGTGGATGAGACCATAGGGAAGTAATTATAGTTGAGTGGGGATGTTTTAGACTTTGAAATTAGATAGAGTTAGGGTCATTTCAGCTCCCCTGCACACTTCTGCTTTTGTGTCTATGAGGAACACAGATAGACAGTTTAGGTTTCTGTCTTCACCTGTAAAAACGGAATAACGTATCCCCACATTTGTATTCATGTACTTTCCACATTGGTTTGAGTGACCCAGAAAGTCCCATGCTTCTTTATGGATCATTAACACTTCTTGTATTCATTCAGGAAGATTGTTGTTAGATATTGCAACCAACACAACCTGGGATCAATCTTTTAACTCTGATGACTGCAGAAAAAAAGAAAAAAAAATCACCTAAAACAGTAGTCCTTAAAGCTTTCCAACGACTAACTTTTTTTTCCTCATGTCATCATTATTCTAGACACATACTCTTAAAATTCGAGTCTTCTCTTTATTCATTCTCTATTTACTCCCTCCTCATTAATTTCCCAGGTGCTTCCAGTTCATATGTGTCTATGCCTGATTCAGGACTACTGCCTGATAGCAATATTTTGCAAATCTAGTATTATCAAGTTCTGTTCATTTCCTTTTGTGCAAGTTAGTTCTTACATTTGCACATTTTTAATGGAAATAACAAACATAGAAAAATTCCAAGAATGGTAAAAAAAAAAAAAAGCCCCAAACCTTTCATGTATCATTTACCCAGATGGACTAGTTGTTAATGTTTTGCCCCATATGTTATGTGTGTATATATAATTATATATATATAAAATATATATATGAAACATTTGAGAATAAGTTGTAACTATTATGCCTTTTTAGCACTAAGTACTTCACTGCATGAGATTTCCTAAAATTAAAGATATTCTTTTATATAATAACACAACAGTTATCAACTTCAGGAAACTGAACATTAATATAAACTTCTATTTCTACTTTACATATTCTAATTATATTGGTTAACCTAGTAATTGTCCTTGATAGCATTGTTTTCCTCCAGTATAGACCAAATTGTGCATTGCATTTAACTGTCATATTTATGCTCTTTATGCTCCCTCAGTCTGAATCAGTTACTAAGCAATTTTTTAAATTTCATAATCTTGACATAGTTGAAGAAATGTAGCCCCTTCCCACTTTTTTTTATTCATAAATATTATCAGTTTTATTATATCCTTCATGACTATATTTTGATACAGCCACTGTCTTTTTTTTATAATTTTATTTTTTATAAACATATATATATATATTTTTTTTCCCCCAGGGGTACAGGTCTGTGAATCTCCACGTTTACAAACTTCACAGCACTCACCATAGCACATACCCTACCCAATGTCCATAACCCCCCCCCCCAACCCCCCTCTGCCCAGCAACCCTCAGTTTGTTTTGTGAGATTAAGAGTCACTTATGGTTTGTCTCCCTCCCAATCCCAATGAAACAAGTTGGGATTGGGAGGGAGACAAGCCCCTTCCCACTTTTATTTTATTTTTAATTTTTTTAAGATTTATGTATTTATTTGGTGGGAGAGGGGCAAAGGGAGAGAGAGAATCCCAAGAAGACTCTGTGTTGAGTGTGGAGCCTGACATGGGATTCATCTCACAACCCTGACATCATGATCTGAGCCAAAATCAAGAGTTGGGTGCTTAACAGACTGAGCCACCTGGGTGCCCCCTACCATTTTTTAAGACAGAATGTTCCTTCTTTTGTCTGCTATTTCTTCATTCTAATTATGCATCCCCACACTATATGAGTGATATTGTGTCCTCCATCAGTTGTTTAGGCCTACAGTGTTCATCTGCCCCTCATTGGTGATCTTAATTTTGATCATTCCAACAAGTTGTTACCTGGTTTCTCCACTGCATGGTTACTATTCTTCCCCCTTGTAACTAATAAGCAAAGCTATGGAAAGGCACATTAAGATCATGCAAATATACTACTCATCAAAATTTCCCCATATATTTAATATCTATTTATGATTTTTGCCTCAGCCAATCAATATAATGGTTGAATTTAGTGAATGGTGGCAAATGATGATTTTCTAACTCTCGCACTATGTCCACATTTGCCAGTTAGCCCTTTGAGAAGCAAAGCCTCCCTTCTCTTCTGTGTATTACCTATTTATTATTAGCATGGACTCATAGATTCTCTTTTTTAAATGATTTATAATTTTTTAAACTGTCATCTATTCCGATGCTCTAATTATCATGGATTTGGAAACTTCTTCAAGCTGGATCTGGTCTTTCTAACATGAAATAATAATAATAATAATATCTATTTTTTATTATCTATTTATTATATTTATTATCTATTTATTATTTATTATTATTCCTTTTTTAGCCATTTCTTACATGTTGGAATATGTTCCGGGTTTGCCGCTTTTTCATTCCTGCTGATAAAAATTTCATTGTCCCTCATTTATTATTCCTTTAGGTACATTCTAGACTTATTCTCAACTCTTCTTTTTCCCATAGTTTCCCTGGCCCTCAAACCCAATTAATTAATAGGCCCTGCTATATTTTTTGCTAAGCCTCGCAGACTTTATCATTCCTGTACATGTGATTCTCACCCAAGCATTTATAACTTTAGTGCTACACTTAAAAAAGTGCTTTTGTTCATGATAATAAAAGAATAGCTGCCATTTATTATGTACACACTAAATGCCAATCAGTTTTTTAAGTACTTTATATGAGCTATCTCATTTAATCTCACACAAAAAAACCATGACGTAGATACTATTATTTTCTTAATGTTAGAGGCGAGAAAACTATATATCAAAGATAAATAATCAACTCAAGGTCACACAAGCTAGTAATGGGCAAAACTGGGATTTGAATCCTAGAAGTTTGACCGTAGAGCAAGTGCTATCAGTGAATATGAATACTCTATAACCTCACTCCCTCCCCCTTCAGTTCTTTTCTAAAATTAATGATTTTATTTATTCAGGGTAATCCTGGCCGACCAGGTCTCAATGGAATGAAAGGAGATCCTGGTCTCCCTGGTATTCCAGGATTTCCAGGTATTTGAAGGGATGTTTTTATATTAAACTCATTTGGGATAAGATATGCATTTTCTGATTTGACTGGGAAAATGCTATGGCCCTGTTGCTTTGCAGTGCCATTGTATGTACCTTCTTTTCAGGCATGAAGGGACCCAGTGGAGTACCTGGTTCAACTGGCCCTGAGGGGGATCCAGGACTTGTTGGCCCCCCAGGTAAGAATTACTCCAGGAGCTAGTTATACTTGATTCTTAAACACACTGAAGAACTTGAAAGTTTGCATTCTGTCTTTGAACTAAACTCTTAGAGTCTCAATCCCCAAAAACTGAGAGCAAGTAGGCAAAACTCTCCCTCTATTTACTGGTCTCTCAACCTCTCTGTTTTACTAAGGAAATACTGAGATCAGTTCTTTTAAGTTTAAGATGGATGCAGGACTAACAAGAATGCTTCATTAAGATTTTTATTAGATTTTATACTAACTTTCCCATATTCGGTTGAACAGATTATAAGAGCAAATCATTTTTAATTGAAAATATTTTTAATACGAAAATAGTTCTTTTTGCTGGAGACTTACAGAAGTTTCCTATAAAATGAAACAGGACATCTGCTAAATTCCCTTACTAGTTCAGTGGGACACTTGATAAGCACAACAAGCAAGAACTGCAAATGATGTTAGAATCAGAATGGACTTATCAGGAAATAGAATTATCTTCCCCTGACATCAGTGTTCACAGATTTGTAATGGATTAGACTTTCTAGTAACCAAGTCATGCTTCAAGTCTTGAAGGGAAAATAAGCCTAATTTTTCCACTGACTCAAAGGAAATTATTTTTTTAGTTTTCTGGGTAAGATGATGGCTTTCCTAAACAGATTTCTGTTGGACATGGCAACATTTCAACAAATTTAACTTGTTTCTTTTGCACCAATTTTTATTCTGATCTTAGGACACTTCTGGCCTTTCTCTTTCCTACCTTCCAATTTGTATGTTTTGCCTCTTAGGTCCCCCTGGATTACCTGGTGCTTCAGGACAGAGTATTATAATCAAAGGAGATGTTGGTCCACCAGGGATCCCAGGCCAGCCTGGATTAAAAGGTCTGCCTGGACTACCAGGACCTCAAGGCTTACCAGGTACCTTTGCAGATCATCTTTCTAAGCCTTATCTATTTGGGAGCATTTCACTAGTTCTCCTTTTACTTGTCATGGTTTGTCTTTGAGAAGAGGAGTCTCAACAACTAGTAGAATACCAGACCACCACAGATCCTATTTCCTTTTTTCTTTGAATTGTTAATTTCTCATGTCCTAATTTCCTTTAAGCCCAGTCTAATCTCTTCTAGCCAATTCCGCTAGCTATTCTAACTTGAATGATTAGGTTAATGTTATTAAAAACTTTGTAATGAAATTAATACGCATTTAAGATCTGGTGCTTTCTCTATCCCAACCACCAGAAGGATAGGAAGCTAATTTGATCAGCCATCAGCTCCCCACTGTGAGGCCTCATGATTTTCAAACTAACTCCCGTCTAGTTGGCCATTTGACTCTATGCTTGCAGCCAGTTTTGATTATATAAGAAAGCTAGAAACTAAGTTCAGTCTTTCCCACTTATTAAGGTTGTTAGTCTTTCCATAAACTAAGTGTACCAGGCAGTAACAACCTTACCTATGGTGGGACAGATAACAAAAGTTGGGCCTTGTACTCCAATTTTGTTCTGAGGCGAAGAGAACACAAGTGCCATATTATGGTAATCTCTGCAGAGACAAATCTATTATTTAAAACTGAAGCTAAATACTTGTCTGCTTCTTTTGTCCCAGGCTTGAGATATTCCTTTGGGTATCTGGATTAAAGACAAGACTGGACTATGAATTTAGTGACACTAAACAACCTTAGGTTTCCTAGATCTGTCTGGTTATGGAATTATTATACCCATATTTGAAGATCCTATTTTTTCCCTATAGGTCCAGTTGGCCCTCCAGGAGATCCGGGACGCAATGGACTCCCTGGCTTTGATGGTGCAGGAGGGCGCAAAGGAGATCCAGGTCTGCCAGGCCAGCCAGGTGAGACAAGTAAAACACTGCCTTTGATAGTAGTCTCGTCTGAGAGACCTCTAGACGTCCACTTAAAGCTGTGAGAGTTTTTTCTTAGAGTATAGCTAGCTGGTGAATCTGTTGCTGGGGGAAAATAGGACAGCAAATACAAGGAAAATTCCCAGTATTAGAAAAGCATAGAAAGCTTGTTTTTATTTATGTGTTTAGAATACTGAGAAAGTTTTTCCTCAAAATGAGGTTTTTCTAGGTATTCACTATACTTACCTGTTCTGATAATTTTCAATATGTTGATTTAAATCCCATGACCATCTTGAAACTATTGCAAATCTTTCTACATTTTAAAATATGACAACAGAGTGTCATTTCCCCCATAAAATTCAGTAATATAGTTGTAAGGTTTATAAAGTTTTAGGTGCTCCCCATAGGGCTTTGAGAGTCAGAGTGGTATCTTATACTGAGAAGACAAATTGATTTTCAGGTTTTTAGTTCATTCATTAGTAGGTACTCCTGATAATATTGAATCTGGTATCCACTAGATTTCCAGTATGTTCTAAAGCTACTTCCAAAGAGAGTTTGAATCACCTTGCAATAAAAAATAACAGGAGCTTAATAGACATTTTCCAAAGAAGACATACAGATGGCAACAGACACATGAAAAGATGCCCAGCATCACTAACGATTGGGGAAATACAAATCAAAACAACAATGGGATGTCACCTTATATACATCAGTATGGCTAGAATCAAAAAGAAATAAGTGTTGGTAAGAACGTGGAAAAAAAGGAACACACACACACGAATATTACTTAGCCATAAAAAAGAATGAGATCTTGTCATTTACAACAACATAGATGGATATAGAAGGTATAATGCTAAGTGAAATAATCAGAGAGAGAAAGATAAGTACCATATGAGTTTACTCATATGTGGAATTTAAGAAACAAGCAAACAAAGGTAAAAAGAGACAAATAAAAAAACAGACTCTTAAATACAGAGAACAAACTGGTGGGTGCCAGAGGGGGAGGTGTGGTGGGGGTGCATGAAATAGATAAAGGGAAATAAGAGTACTCATTTATCATAATGAGCACTGAGTAATGTATAGGATTGTTGAATCACTGTATCATATACCTGAAACGAATATAATACTGTTTGTTAACTATACTTCAATAAACAAAATAAAAGTTAAAAATTAAAAAACACACTGAAGTAAGATTGCTAGCAGACATAAAAGATCATAAACTCATTAGATTTTTAATACGTGTTAGCAACACTAGACAATATAAATATAACTCTAAATAATATAAACATAAAGAATTTTTATTGGCAAAAAAAAGAATATTTATTGGCAAAAAATATCAGTGGCAACAAGGCAGACTAGTAATACCTATGGCCTTCCTGGAACTGATACCCTGCCATTTCATTAACTGTATATCAGAGAAGAAACAAGTTAGTGTCATCTTCATCACATATGAGCTTTGCTGTGAAGTTTCCCCAAAGTGAAAATACATATACACAGTGGCAAAAGGCCTGTTTATAAAGATAATTTTAAAATAGGCTCAAATCAAGGACTAAACAGAGAAATGGAACCGGTGGTAAATTGGAAATAGACATTTTGAAAAGGCTGCTTTAGTAGTGCCCTGCCTATTCTCTAAACAAAAAGGTATACCTGAGAATAATTCCCCAGACAGATTCAAAGGAAAATGTTTTTCAGCACTGAAACTGGCAGACTGATGGCAACCACACTCTTCCTTTCTTGATGAACAAAACAGCAGACTGAAATTTCGTCGTGGGCTTTGGGCTCCTTTAATAGAGCAAGAGACTAGATAACACACAGACTTCCCAAATAAGCATCATTTCTTCCCATCTAATGTTCCATCACCCAGTACTCATTATATAGTGCCTAATGTTGACAACCAATTCCATTAGAAAAAATATATATATTTAAGTCTCTTTGAGGGCAGGAACCATATTTTATTTATCTCTAAATCTGTGATATCTGACAATACCTTAATAGGCACTCTATAAATATTGACTAAATTAACAAATCAAATGAGATCATAATGTTTTGTCAGTAGCCATAAATATAGGATCAGGGCTCACTTAAATTTTGTATACTGATAATTCCATGGAAATAGGTACCCGTGGTTTGGATGGTCCCCCTGGACCAGATGGTATGCAAGGTCCCCCAGGTCCTCCAGGAACTTCTTCTATCGCCCATGGATTCCTCATCACACGTCACAGCCAGACAACAGATGCACCACAATGCCCACATGGAACTGTGCAGATTTATGAAGGCTTTTCTCTCCTGTATGTTCAAGGAAATAAAAGAGCTCACGGTCAAGACTTGGGTGAGATAACTGGCATCTTATTTTTTATTATGTGTTTCATTTTGTTTTGAAAATTCTGTTGGGTTCTGGAGTAGCCTTGGACAAGTGTATCTCCCTAATTTGGGGGGGCTTCCAAATTGCAGATTATGTCAAGGGCAGCCAAATATATTCACTGTAAGTTTTAAATAAGTAATACATTACTCTAAAAGCACTAGTTAGCTAGTGTGAGGTACAATTCTTGGCCTAAAGCAGCACATTTGGGGGAAGGCCACATGTTAGCTTAGTTATTAAGAAAATAGATTCCCTGGGCTCTCTATGGTAGGTATAATAGTTGCTTGAGTGGGCAGTGTTTTTTCATAGGAGATAGTTTTTTTCTTCTCTGACACTGGTCTTCATCAAGTCAAAAGGTACGTTCTGAAGAGAATCTTGATTTCTAAATCGAAGAAATTAGGGTCATTCCTTAATTATGCTAGTTTATATTTCCTAAAATAAGTGTCATAGCTTTATAAAGTATTAACAGAGTAGATTAAAACTATGTAAAGCACCATATTTCTGTATAAAATACATTTAATGTGTTCCCGTGTGTCATCTCTATACTGTGGTGGGCAGATTTGTTGATGGGATGAAACTGAACTGGATGACCCTCAAGACATCTTCCAATTCTCAACATTTCCTTTTCTGGAATTCTTTTTTTTTTTTTTAAAGATTTTATTTATTTATTTGACAGAGATCGCAAGTAGGCAGAGAGGCAGGCAGAGAGAGAGAGGAAGGGAAGCAGGCTCCCTGCTGAGCAGAGAGCCCGATGCGGGGCTCGATCCCAGGACTCTGAGACCATGACCCGAGCCTAAGGCAGAGGCTTAACCCACTGAGCCACCCAGGCGCCCCATCTGGAATTCTTGACTTTGGATTTCAAAGCCCCATTGACCTGTGGCTGCCAATTTTAGGGAGCATTATCTCCTTTGTCTCCATAAAAATAATTGAGAAAATAGTCTGGGCTCCCAGTTTCTGGGGTCTCTATAGTAAGAGGCCTCCTGAGGTCTCTTTAGCTAGGCTATTTTGTGAAAACACTTCAGCAACAGAGACCTCCAGAGGTCTTCTCTGCTCACTCTATTCTTCGGTCATGTGGCCACACCTGCCAGGGAGTGCTGCCCTACTGGAGTACGCATCTCCACCAACATGGAAGCCAAGAGTCATGGGTCATTTTATGAAGCCAAATAAAGGAGGAGTTTGCCCACCAACTTTCTTCTCCCACTTCTGCTTTTCTTTGTCTCTTTTTCATCTTTCCTCTGCTATTTTTCCTTCCCACACTTACTTTCCATAGGTGGCATCTTCTTTTTCTAATTTTATAATTGACAAATTTTCATGGTGAAAATATTCTTATCTTTTACGTAAATCCCTCTAGTCTTCCTCCCATAAAACTCTTCTCCTTTTAGACTGTTCTGTCTTCACTATCAGAATCTTAACTTGTACCTATAATCAAGCTTATAAACTTCAAATCCCTGACTTAATAGTTAGGGAACCATTAGAAGTTTTTGAGCACCATGAAATTTAAAAATTTAATTCAAAGAGAAAATGGAATCTGCTATCCAGTATCTCACTGTAACTTGTCAAAATGCATGTATTTGGTCAAACAAGGGCTGTCATACTATGCATTCAGACTTGGAGGCTACAGACTGGCCCTGATTCAGGTACAGTATAGGCCTCAAACATGGGAAGGCCATGATATGGGGCCTAAATTCCCAGGAGTGATCCCAGGTTGCAGAGTCTCTTCTATGGCTCACACAGGGATCAAACTGGAGAGAGCTTGATGGCTAAGCAAAGAATACAGACAGCTATAACTTTTATGTTAAAGAAACAATCACCTGATCAAATAAATACAGTCTATGTTGGATTACTGGAAGGATTATGGTGTGTAAAACAAAACCAAAGACAACTGAAAGAATGGGAGAAGATATTTGCAAATGACAACAGATAAAGGACTAGTATCTAAAATCTATAAAGAACTTATCAAACTCAACACCCAAAGAACAAATAATCCAATTGAGAAAGGGGCAGAAGACATGAACAGACATTTCTGCAAAGAAGACATCCAAATGGCCAACAGACACATGAAAAAGTGCTCAACAGCAGTCAGCATCAGGGAAATACAAATCAAAACCATAGTGAGATACCACCTCACACCAGTCAGAATGGGTAAAATTAACAAATCAGGAAACGATGGGTTGGCAAGGATACAGAGAAAGGGGAACCATTCTGCACTGTTGGTGGGAATGCAAGCTGGTGCAGCCACTCTGGAAAACAGTATGGAGTTTCCTCAGAAAGTTGAAAATAGAGCTACCCTACAACCCAGCAATGGCACTACTGGGTATTTACCCTAAAAATACAAATGTAGTGATCCGAAGGGGCACATGCACCCGTATGTTTATAGCAGCAATGTCCACAATAGCCAAACTATGGAAAGAACCTAGATGTCCATCAACAGATGAATGGATAAAAAAGATCTGGTATATAAATACAGTGGAATACTATGCAGCCATCAAAAGAAATGAAATCTTGTCATTTGCAACAACGTGGATGGAACTAGAGGGTATTATGCTAAGCGAGATAAGTCAATCAGAGAAAGGCAATTATCATATGATCTCTCTGATATGAGGAATTTGAGATGCAGGGCAGGGGGTTGTGGGGAGTAGGGAAGGAAAAAATGAAACAAGACGGGATCAGGAGGGAGATAAACCATAAGAGACTAAATCTCACAAAACAAACTGAGGGTTCCTGTGGGGTGGGGAGGTAGGGATAGGGTGGTTGGGTTATGGACATTGGGGAGGGTATGTGCTACAGTGAGTGCTGTGAAATGTGTAAGCCTGATGATTCACAGACCTGCACCCCTGGGGCAAATAATACACTATATGTTAATAAAAACAATTTTAAAAATTCAAATGTGAAAACAGTAAAAAAAAAAAGTTGTGGTATATATATCTATATACAATGGAATACTATGCAGCCATCAAAACCCCAAAATCTTGTCAAATCTTGCAACAACGTGTATGGAACTAGAGGGTATTATGCTAAGTGAAATAAGTCAGTCAGAGAAAGACAATTATCATATGATCTCACTGATATGAGGAATTTGAGAAATAGGACAGAGGATCATAGGAGGGAAAAATGAAACAAGACAAAAACCAGAGAAGGAGACAAACCATAAGAGACTCAATCTCAGGAAACAAACTGAGGGTTGCTGGAGTGGAGGGGGGTGGGAGGGATGGAGTGGTGGGGTGATGGACCTTGGGGAGAGTATGTGCTATGGTGATTGCTATGAATTGTGTAAGACTGATGGATCACAGAACTGTACCCCGAAACAAATAATGCATTATATGTTAATTTAAAAAAAAGAAAATGGATGGATTTAGCACTGGTAGGTGTTGGATTCAGTACTTATCTCCATCACTGAATGCACAGGTTTGAGTTAGTCACTACCTCTTAGCCACTTTTTTGTGTATAAAATATAAGAAAATATTGGTCCTGTATCTTTCTTGATCATAGGTGTGAAAATCAAATTGGAGAATGGAAATCAAAGTACCTTTTATTTATAAAGTAAATTAAAAATAAAACATTACTGCTTAATTGGGGACAGGGCTGGAGATATCCTTGGTCTCAGAAAGAAAAGGAAAAGGTACATAAAAGGAAGGCCCATAATGATGAGAAGATGGGTGTTTGATTCCATCTATGCTTTAGGTTGCACACAATGAAGCAGAATTCTGAATAGTCTCCAAATTTTCAGAGAAAATTTTGAAGAAAAATCTCATGAATTCTCAATGCCTTTCATTTTCTAAAACTATAAGGCTTTAATACACTAATGATTCTTAATATATTTTTTGTGCCTATACAGAACAGTTTTAGCATTCCATTTGTTACCGCCACCCTCTTTTTTTTATTAACATATAATGTATTATTTGTTTCAGGGGTACAGGTCTGTGATTCATCAGTCTTACACAATTCACAACACTCACCATAGCACATACCCTCCCCAGTTTCCATCACCCAACCACCCTATCCCTTCCCTCCACACACTCCCCCAACAACCTTCAGTTTGTTTCCTGAGATTAAGAGTCTCTTAAGGTTTGTCTCCCTCTCTGGTTTCATCTTGTTTCATTTTTCCCTCCCTTCCCTTATGATCCTCTGTCCTGTTTCTCAAATTCCTCATATCAGTGAGATCTATGATAATTGTCTTTCTCTGACTGACTTATTTCACTTAGCATAATACCCTCTAGTTCCATCCACATTGTTGCAAGATTTAGCAAGATTTGGGGGTTTTGATGGCTGCATAGTATTCCATTGTATTTATATATTAGATCTTCTTTATCCATTCATCTGTGATGGACATCTAGGTTCTTTTCATAGTTTGGCTATTGTGGACATTGCTTCTATAAACATTGGGGCGCGCATGCCCCTTTGAATTACTTCATTTATATCTTTAGGGTAAATACCTGGTAGTGTAATTGCTGGGTCATAGGGTAGCTCTATTTTCAACTTTTTGAGGAAACTCCATGCTGTTTTCCAGAGTCGCTGCACCAGTAAATCCATCCATTTTCAGTTATTCCAATTTGTCATTCACTCTCACATGACCTTGAGTTAGTCACCTTTCTCTGAGCCACGTTTTTTCCTCTGAAAAAAAGAATTAGGCTAAATCAATGATTTTCAACCTGGATAAGTTTTGAAAAGATTCCTAGACACATCCCAAACCTCTTATATAAAAATTCCCAATGATAATGATGACCCATTAGGTTTAAGAACTGTTGGTCTTCTATCAGTCATCTTCAGTCTGAGATAAACATATTCCTGGAAACATAAGGAATTTCCAAGAACTAAATAGGCGTAATTTTAAAGGAATCAAGTTTCAAATCCTCAACTTTCATACGTACTTTCTCGTGAAGTTGAACTGCCTGTGTATATGCTTTGGATAATCCTGTTTCCCACATCCCCTTTCACTATCACCCATCTCCCACTTTATGAAAGAATCATACTATCGCGTATTGCCGTGAAGTGTGAAAACCTCTGGGGACAAATTCAAAGGGACAACTCAAAATAATGATTCTATTAAAGTCTCCATTAACTGAGGCTCTATCATTCCCTCTAATCCGTCTCATTAGAAAATGCATTTCCCAACAAGTTTACTTTTTGTGTTTAGTAATTATCAAAATTTATAATATCTGTATTTTTTATAAATTCCCAATATAATGATGACAATTTTAAAAATATTTAACATGTAAAATCTTATGATCATAGAAAGTTTTTTCAAGTTATTATAGATTGTTTTTTCAGAGAAATATGATAGGATAATCAAGAAAAAACTTAAAAAACACACTAGGAAAAACTGTGTGAGAACAGTGGAATTGACATAATTTCCAGATGCAAAAGGCATTGAATGACTTCCACTTGTTAAAGATGAGTTTATGTACCTTAAAAAATGTTTATTGTTAGGTTTAAAATCATTATGTTGGATATATTTAAAAGAGAGAGAGAAAGTTTGTTTTTAAATATAATATATTTCTTTCATGAGTGTTCTATAGTTCCTCGAGTACAGATCCTTTACCTCTTTGGTTAGGTTTATTCCCAGGTATCTTATGGTTCTTGGTTCTATAGTAAATGGAATTGATTCTCTAATTTCCCTTTCTGTATTTTCATTGTTAGTGTATAAGAAAGCCGCTGATTTCTGTACATTGACTTTGTGTCCTGCCACATTGCTGAATTGCTGTATGGGTTCTAATAGTTTAGGGGTGGAGTCCTTTGGGTTTTCCGTATAAAGAATCATGTCATCTGCGAAGAGAGGGAGTTTGACTTCTTCATTTCCAATTTGGATACCTTTTATTTCTCTTTGTTGTCTGATTGCTGTTGCTAGGACTTCTAATACTATAAAAATTAATTAATTAATTAATTAATTAAAAATATATTCACAAAACACTAGACATGACTGCTGGTAACATTTGAAATGTAGTTTGCAAAGTCCCAGGCTCCAGTATCACAAAGTGGAATATAGAAAGGTAGCTTTGGAGCCAAGAGACAATAACCAATACCTCAATAACTGGCATAGTATCAATTTGAAATTCTGATGAAAAGTTTTACACCTAAACTTAAAAATGTGTGAGGGGGTACACCATTGTTCATCATTCTTTGGTGAATAAGAATAAAAGAGATGGGGGCGCCTGGGTGGCTCAGTGGGTTAAGCCGCTGCCTTTGGCTCAGGTCATGATCTCAGGGTCCTGGGATCGAGCCCCACATCAGGCTCTCTGCTCAGCAGGGAGCCTGCTTCCCCCTCTCTCTCTGCCTGCTTGTGATCTCTCTCTGTCAAATAAATAAATAAAATCTTTAAAGAAAAAGAATAAAAGAGATAACTTTTAGAGTTATATGTAGAGATATAGATAGATAACCTCTATTGCTCTTACCAGTTCTGAACTTTTTTCCCCTTGCATCCTTCCTTTCTCTCTTAGTTTTTTTTTTCCTTTTTATTATTCACAGCCAAAACTGTTCATGGTTCCTGTGCATTATGGTCAGCACTACCATTGTCCCTAGGCCCAAAGAGATTGCAAAAACAAACAAGATACATACTGAGGATGTCTTAGAAGAAGAGAGGATAGCCTGGAAAGGAAGTAGTAACAGGACATTATAAGAGCTCTGTGTGTGTTCTTCCCTTTTTCATAATAAATTGCTCAAGATTCTCCATAAGACGCCATTATTTATAAGTACATCGCCAGTGTAAAAACAATGTTGGAGAATATATAATGAACTGCAACAATAAATGTCTATATAAATTACAAGATATTTCCCAATTTTAGAAATGTTAAAAATATAAGTAAACGTGCATCTTATAATTGAAGACCTAAAACAAAGTGTATTTATTATCTAAGAAACATGGGCAAATTTCTCCTTGACAGGTTGTTTGTTAGGGTTTCCAAAGAAACGAAAGTATCATCATCGTATATAGTCCTTCATCCTTTTCTCCCCAATTCTTCCTAGGGACGGCGGGCAGCTGCCTTCGTCGCTTCAGTACCATGCCTTTCATGTTCTGCAACATCAATAATGTTTGCAACTTTGCTTCAAGAAATGACTATTCTTACTGGCTCTCCACCCCAGAGCCCATGCCAATGAGCATGGAGCCCCTGAAGGGCCAGAACATCCAGCCATTTATTAGTCGGTGAGACACTGGTTTAGCTTTGACTTTTACCAATCCCCAACTAGTTTAGCTAGTCAGAAATGAGTCTAAAGCTAATAATTTGATCATGTTCTTCTCAGGTTAGGTAGGACAGAGGTGACTTTACAATATCCAGTTAAGTATTTAGTTTAAGTTTAGTATTTAACTGAAGTATTTAGTTTAAGCCATATTAGTTGGGAATTTGCTTTTAACCAGACCCCGTGATAGACTTAGTATAATGTACAAAGAAATCAGATGAATAATTATGCAAATATACGTAAATTAATATAATATATATCACTCTTGGCTAAATGTTACAATAGATCTAATAAAATGTTATAAAAGCATGAGGAAAAGAATGTTTAATTTTAATTGGATAAATTTGGGATAACTATATGGAAGAAATGTATTTTGACCTGATTGGTACTTAAAGGATGGGAAGGACTTGAGACACAGGTGCTTATAAAGGGGAAGGGCATACTAGGCAGAGAACATGGGAATGGGTAGTAGATTGATATGTCTAGAATGTAACTTGTAAAGGTTGCATAGAGGGAAGAGTTTAGAAAGTTATCTTGGACCAGTTTGTAGAAGGCTTTCAGTGTAAGGTTTTATTTTGGAATTAATCTGGTTTATAATGGTGAGCTTTGAAAAGTGCTTGAGCTCTACTTAAGGGAAAATTACAGAACCATCAACATGTAACATAGATTATAGAGGAAATGGTCCTAAAATAGAGAGACCAGTTAGATTGAAGGTATTGCTGTAGTCCTGATAGGAATGGATTGGAACTGTCAGTGGGGGACATGTATCACTTTAATACAATAGATAGGATTTGGTTGTTGATAAGTTATGGGACAGAGGGAGTGATAGCTGAAGTTTGGAGCATGAGTAACTAACAGGAGAGAGGTATCATTAGTATAGATTTCCTAGAGTTTTGCCACATTAGAACTCTAGTCTAACTCAATCTCCTAGGCCTTTGAGATACTGTCATTTTCATTCTGATCATGGCCCAATTGATTTAGGAGTCTACTAACCATAAAGGATGAATCATTGGAAAGTCTAGTTTATTTGACATTGAATATAAAGGTTAAACCTAGTTCAGTTTCTCTTAGTAGGAAATCCATGGTGCCCTTTTTAGTACATTTGCCCAGATTTGGGGGGAATTTATTTTTTGTGATTTTTGTCAGTCCCAACTCTTGGGAGTAAATGGTCCTTTAAAGGCATTATTTTATTTTTTATTTATTATTTTATTTTTATATTTTATATTTTATTTATTATTTTTCTTTTGTAGAAAAATTCACCAAATTGGTTCAGTCATATGTCAGAAGGTCCTTTCATGATATTTATTAAAGATTTGGTAGACTTGGCAACATATTTACTGTGTTGCTACTTTACTTAATTTTATAGATTTAAGCCACATCTCCATGTGCCTGGGTAGCTGCCCAGCATTATGGAAATGCTGTATTTCTCTAGACATAGACAAATGGTTAATAAATATCCTTTGGAGCAAAAATAATGGGAGGGGTTTGACAAAGTGTCTGTTTCTTGTCTTCTCCAGTTCACCAGACATTGTTCTTACCACAGTTTCAGCATTACTAAATGTCTACCATCCAGTTAGGCATTTTGACAGAAAGTAGTATGTGCAGTACACGAAGCCAAACTCTTACAGCGATTATGACATTGACTATAGCAAGTATGAATACAAATTTAAGGCAGAATGGAAAATGCAAACGCTATAGCAGTGGTTGTGGAGTTTCTTTAAATAAGGCTTACAGTTATCATTTATAAATTTATTAAGTATATTGGGAGACAGGGCTTATGAAAAAGCAACTCTTGAAGTGCATTTTTCTCCTGCTTTTGTGAGCACAGAAGACACCTTAATGGGCATCTATACCAAGAAAGCTTTGAAAGAAGAGGGATTGCTAGTTCCCACATACTTACTGTGCAGATTGTGTTCCCCTCCCTTTCCCTTACCAGATGTGCAGTATGTGAAGCTCCAGCCGTGGTGATTGCAGTTCACAGTCAGACCATCCAGATTCCCCATTGTCCTCAGGGATGGGATTCTCTCTGGATTGGCTACTCCTTCATGATGGTATGAAATACTCTTCCTTGCCTTTGTCATTGTACCTAACTGCCCATCATATCTATCTTCCTAATACAGTGAATCCCTGCCATTTGCATAGTAAAGAGCTTGAACTTCAAATAACTTCTGTCCAAATATTGTGTTTCCCTTCACATATTTTCTAGAATATATTTTCATAATCTGCCTGTTGCTTACGTCGATACCGTTCTATTATTTCTTGCCCTAGATCCTTCGCTGGAATTGAATTTGGGATCATATTTAACACATATCATTAGGTATTCACTAAGGTATGAGTGGCACATTTTTCCTTATCTTTTCTAGCACACAAGCGCAGGAGCAGAGGGCTCAGGTCAAGCCTTGGCCTCCCCAGGTTCCTGCTTGGAAGAGTTTCGTTCAGCTCCCTTCATTGAATGTCATGGGCGGGGTACCTGCAACTACTATGCCAATTCCTACAGCTTTTGGCTAGCAACTGTAGATGTGTCAGACATGTTCAGGTAAGGCACTTCCTTCAAAAGTACTAGGGAAGAGAGAAGCAATTCATGGATTGTTTATAACCAACACATGTTGAAGATTTAGTGGACTGCGTTTTTCATTTGTGCTTGTTCTTTTCATATACCTGACTCAGGACAGAAAAACAGACTTGGCTAATGTTAAGTATGTGTGCTTTCAGATGGCTTGGTAGTAGTAATCCTTCAGTAGCAAACACACAAAGCAAGGAAAGGTTATAACCTTTCAAACCTGCTCAACAATAATTGAGCTGCTCAACTAGACAGAAGCTACCCAGGAATTAAAGATTGAAGCTGTGATCTATGATCCCTGCCTCAGTCCAGTGATCTCTTTGCCCAGGATCTTATCTTTTCTCTTCTCTCCTTTTCTTTTCTCTTCTCTTCTCTTCTCTTCTCTTCTCTCTTTTCTTTTCTTCTGAGAGATAGAGAGAGAGAGAGAGAGAGCATGAGACAGGAGTGGGGAGGAGAAGGGGGAGAGAGAGAGAGAATCTTAGGCAGGCTCCGTGCCCAGCATGGAGCCTGATGAAGACTTGAACTCACAACCTTGAAATCATGACCTGAGCTGAAATCAAGAGTTGGACATTTAACCAACTGAGTCTTGAAGGCGCCCCTTTCCCAGGATTTCAGTGCTCTCATCCAAGTGTCTGAATGAGTAAGACCACATATAGTATATGTACTTCAGGATACTTCAGTCTTGGTAGGTCCTTTAAATTAGATTTTTTTTTCGTTTAAATTAATTTTTATATATTGCTTCTTTTGAGTTATCATTAGTTGATATTTTTCTTATAATTATCTTTTTGCATTTCATATGCATGTGTTTTATCATTTATTCATCATCAGTTGCTCAGATCTCCCTCATTCTAGGACTGTTAGAAAAATGTATAAGAGATAAAGAGGGAGAGAAAAATAGAGGAAATAGTGGTAGAGAGAAGAGTCACAAAAATAACTATGACCACTAATGGCTCCTCGGCCATACCAGTTACTGCACCAGATCACATTGCTCAAAAGTTAGTGATTAAGTCATAGGAGAGCTACTTAAGCAAAAATAGGATGTTTGGGTATGAATCTGAACCAATAATAGAATTGAAAAACTAGAAAAGGCTAATTTGATTGTCTTGTTTCTTATCTCCTAGCAAACCTCAGTCAGAAACACTGAAAGCAGGAGACTTGAGGACACGTATTAGCCGATGTCAAGTGTGCATGAAGAGGACATAACATTTTGAAGAATTCCTTGTGTGTTTTTAAATGTGATATATACATATATATATATGTGTATATATATATACACATATATATATATGTATATATATATAATTCCCAGGATGCAACGTCTCACTCCTCCCAACTTTACCACTGCTGCCACCAATGGTGCTACTATATATGACCAAGAGAACATGCTGACTAGTAACCATGAAGATACAGAAGTACCTCAACAACGTGCCAGAGCAAGGTCTCTATTAGTTTTCTATGAATGAAATAAGGAATTTACTTCTTGGGTCCAGAATGACTTTCCCCAGGATTATAAGATGAAGATTATATATTTTGCCCAGTAACTTAAAACAGTATGTTAAAAGTTAAAGAGAAGAATCACACTGAGTAAAATAAAAGACTGCAGTTTGGGGGAAGAATTATTTTTCATGGTGCTACTAATCTTACTGTATCCCAGGTTTTTAATATAAAAGTGTTAAGCTTATTTTGCTCTGTAAGTAAAGAATGTGTATATTGTATAAACAGCCTTTTAGCTCAAAGTGTTGACTCATTTCGATGTGACCTGACATGTATCACTCTTTATAGACAACCTATGCAAATGTAGAATACAGACAACAAGATTTTGTATCCATGTTTACCAAACTGAAAGAATTTATATTCTTACATCAAATTACTACTAAGAGTAAATTTATTTTGAGTTCTATCCCCTAAATTCTTATTTGACTTTTTTAAAAAAATATAGGTCATTTTAGTCACTTTAATCAGAATTTTAAATGTTCATGTTACATACCAAATTATAATATCTAATAGAACATTTTCTCTTTTGCTGTGTTCTTCAAGATTATTAATACTAGATGCCCTCTTTTTAAATGTCTCTTACATCTTGTTTTTGCTCATCCCTAATTAGGTAAAGTCCTGCCAAATAATTTTGAGAAACAAAAATATGCAAAAGATGATGATTTGTTCCCTGTGCTTCTTCTGTAAGAACTATTTTCCTGTGATCTCTTGGTTAGTCTTCTCTCTTCAGTTACAAAGCCAATTAATGTTTCTTCCTCTTTTTTAATTTTAAAACATTTTATTATAAATAGCCATAGAATACCTTATTTCCCTAGTTGTCCTCTTTTCACTTCATGTTTTTTAACTCACCAATATCGATTTAATTAAAGATATCCTATGTTGTAAGAATGGATTGTTGTGTATCTCTTCAGACTATGTGTAAAAATCTGCTCATTTACAGATGGATTACACATCTTCACATCAACAAATAATTCCTTCTCAGAGAATCATTTAGAGCAGTTCCAAAGAGGTTTCTGCAGATTTTGATCACTCATAGCTGATAGAAGACATGGAGTAATGTAAACTTTTTCAAATAAACATAACAACCCATTGGAAAGTACTTTTACAATAAAAATGTATTAACAATATTATATTGATGGCGATGGCTGAGAAAGGAAGAACTACTTTCTATTTAGGGAAGAATTCATTAATAATGTTTAAAAATAGATTAGTGAGTTAATATTCCTGACGAATAAGAATGTACACATGTAGCTCTATAGTTGAGAACTTGCTAAAAGTAAGAGGCATTAAAAGCCTCTATAATAAAATTTGTATTTCAATTAAAATATGTAACAACCAAAACAATTTTGAGAATTTGAGACCCTAATATGAACCCATGCAAAAGCTAAAGCTTAGAGTCCATAGTTGTAGAAGTTAGATTCTAAAGAATGGGAACTACTTAATAATACTGTTGATTTCAAGGCTAGCCACATGTAAATTCTAGCTTTATTTTTCCATATAACCATGTGAATGAAAACACTAATGGGTAATTTTAAATGAAAACATGATATTGCATACACGTAAAGGTTGTTCCTTGGGTTACAGTTGCAAGCACTAATTTCAGAGATTTTGCTGTTTGTTGCTTTCCTTCTCAATTTTATCTGGTTGAAAACGTTGCCTCAGAAAGAACCTACCATTTTAATGGTTGCATGTGATGTAGTCTATGTGTTTCTTAACCTCCCAGCTAACCCCAGTCCTGCTTTGTTGTTTAAAGTACATGAATTCAATCCATTCCAGGACCTTAATATCGTTGACCCTCCCTTGCCACTGAATAATGAAAGATTATTCTGATATAACTGCTCTAGTAGTTACCTATAGTGAGTTTTATAGTCATACATGCCTAATGGTTTTCCCACATACGCAGGCAACAGATAAGCTGTTCTTCCTTAACCAGATGCAAGTAGTTACTACATCTACAAACCGAGTGATACACATATGGTTGGTGTTACACTCATCACTTCCAAGCTTCCAAACAGGTACCATTGGACATTCTGTGATTGTACAGTGTATTTTCTCATTTGGCCAAATTTGAAGAACCCTTTATTTCTTGTGTCTATGAAGTTCTTTGCCTCCATTGGCATGGTTAATTGAAAACTCACTGGTTAGACCATGCCATCAGAAGGTTTATTCATATGTTAATCACAAGAGGGCACTATTGCCTATAAAAATAAATAAGCATGTGTAATGATTTGTTGAGCTCATTGTTGATGGTGGTGGTGAAGTCCTTTGAAGCTCTCCCTCCAGATTCTTGTTTTAAGCTTCATGTATTCTTTCTTCCTCATAAAGATCAACAAGTATTTTAAGAGGTGGCCCAGTTTCCCAATGTCTGCATCCAAAAGAAGGGACAGCTTTGCTATGAAAGATTTTCTTAAGAGCCTGATTAGGAATTGGCTCTGGTAGTACGTCCCATACCTCTCAACACAGAAGCAAAGTGCAATCACTTTTTTTGGCCAACACATCAGTTGGCTTCTTTAGCAGAGAAGTTCTGTTCTCATGCTGCACTATACAAGCTCCCTCATCCCTAGGCAGCTCCAAAATCAACTGAATAATATTTATAAATCATACATCATTTATTTTAAAGCAGTGGTTTCTGGAGTACATTCAGGATGTTTGGAAGGTTTCTGTGGTGGAAGTACTCATAAGTTGGGACACTGAAATAATAAATCCAGATAGGCCTGTCTTCCAAGTTCGACGACAACAAATGTTCATTAGATATTTATTAGCTGTATAGCACCATGACATATAACAATCCAAAATCAACTCAACCAGAAGGATAGTCATTGTAATATATACTCCTAAGAAGAGGTATGCTTTTCCATCTGACTACCAAATCTTACTAGTTCCAAGTTAGACTGGAATAGATCATAAGGCATTTTGCCAGCACTAGCTATCCTGAGGAAGCTGGCTCACCAAGACATTCCTAACACTGGACAAGCTAAGATCACACGTATGTAACCTTGACTCTATTTCTCTATGTAGTGAATTGTGTGCCCAACGTATGATCTAATGAGATGACAAATTGTTGACATTATGGCATTTTCTCTTTTGTTTTCCTTTTCCAGATTCTCATGGCATTCTTTGCCCTACTTTTTGTGCCCAGAGGGTTCCTGTGCCCTCTAGCTTTTGGTTGAGTTCAACCAATGGGATACCCTGCAGGATAGAAGAGCAAAGGACAAGACTGATGTTAGGTATTTATTTTCATGGGGCACATGTAGTTACCTCAGGTCAGCTTGTGCTCTTCAGTTGAATGTCCCTGCTCCTCTCAAGATGATCTGCTCTTCGAAATTATTTACCATTCTGGTTCCAGTCGCCAATTTCTTCTCATTTCTTCAGGTCTATTTATGATAAGTCTACGGCTGCTATGCTGCTAGTCCTGGATTCCTGCATTACCTTTTGTGGTTCTCCTACACACCACCTCTATCTTTCTTTCTTTTTTTTTCACCTGTATCTTTCTAATTAAACTCTCCTCAGATTATCCTAATTTAGTGCCTTGTCTTTTCGCTATTGATACCCTGACAAAATGCACAACTGCTTCTAGTCTCTAAAATCTGGTGGAGGTGCTTTATTCTCTATGTGGGAAAATGAGGATGGATTGGTAAAACTGGCATGCATGAGTAGCATCTTCCACTTTGAACTGAGAGATAGACCAACAGAAATGTGAATTAACATTACTTAATCTAAGACCTAGCTTACCAAGCTTTATTGGAAGCTGCATTCCAAGGTTATTAGGGTGAAGTGAGACAAAATATGTTCATTATGGCCCTAAATTTTTTTTGTTACTTTTCTAAATATTGCTCCACTGAATCTCTAAAATAAAACCATACATTTTAACTTCCCCCTAGGTGGTTATTTGCCTTGCTCCATCCTACTCCAATATGAAGAATCTTAGTTGCCCAACTGGCAGACAAGATCCTAAGCACTGTTAACTGATCTTTGAAAGCTCCAGAAAGAAAATTCCTGGTGGTGCTATGTCCACCAGAGAAATTTGCCAAGCCAGTGTTACATGTCTGCAGTCAATAAAAGCAATCCTAAGTGTTACTAGGCCAAGAAATAAACAATTTAAACCACCTTAAATAAGTGGTTTCTAGTCTCAAGAACCTCTATGACAGGTGAGCCCAGAGAAGCACTTCAGATCTGCTTCCCTTCTGTTCATCAAGGGTACAAGAGGGAATGCTTAGACTGGAGATTACAGAAGATGGGACCAACTCTAATGCCAAAGGCAGTCAGATTACTCACTAATTTCAACCAGGTCCAGATGGAGCCTACCAAGAGTTGACTTTTTATTTTTTTTAAAGATTTTTTTTTATTTGTATGTATTTATTTGACAGACTGAGATCACAAGTATGCAGGGAGGCAGGCAGAGAGAGAGGAGGAAGCAGGCTCTCTGCGGAGCAGAGAGCCCGATGCAGGGCTCGATCCCAGGACCCTGGAATCATGACCTGAGCCGAAGGCAGAGGCTTCAACCCACTGAGCCACCCAGGCGCCCCAAGAGGTGACTTTTTAAAGACCATACTTAATTTTGAAGTAAAATTGCTTTCTGGTTGATTTCCTCGAGGCCAGTAAAGTGCTTGCTATTGCCGGTTTATCACAAGCCACAACAGTAAACCAGTTGTCAAATCTTTGTCCCTCTCTGACACAATAATTTGACCCTTGTTTGGGCTCTAAGGAAGACTATACCTGATGCCTCAGTAGCAACATAAGTAATACCTTACGTTTATAAGTTCTCATTAAAATGTAATTCACCACACATTATGTCATCTGAGCCTCAGCAACCCTGATGTATTCAAACAGTGCAAGGATTAGTCTCCATCTACGGATGCAGAAGCCAAGCCTTACAAAGGTTTCGTGACTATCCCAAGGTTACCAAACAAGGTATTAAGTTCTTTTTCACTCAAAACCTGATCATCACCTTCTAGTCCTGAAAACGCCTGTATCAAAAAAATCAGAATCCTTTGTGATGGAGACTCTTGGCACTACAGGGGTCTCTGTTGCATGAGAAGTAATGAACGACATGCTTTGGGAACCTGTTCCCAGTTACGGATGAGTGTTTTTCACAGCAACTGAGGTCCTTTAGAATTAGCCCTGGGACACAAGGGACTTACAGTGAATTCACTGTATTTTAGGATACTCTTGTTGGTCTCGTCTAAGCCTCTGCAGCTAAAGAAAACCTTGTGAGTCTGGCCTGGTGCCTACCTCACTTGAGCTTCTTTGGGACTCTTGAATCCAGACAAGCTCCTGGAATTTGAATGCCCTAGTCTGAGAACTCCCCAGCACTACTACTATTCAGGTAGGAACCAATGTGTCTTGATTGTTATGTAGACCTCAGACTATGCAGATACCATCTATCTTCTATTATAGACAATGCACAACACACTCCGTGGAGGGGAAAATTTATTTATAGTTCCAACAGGAAAGTGTGTCATTTTTCATTTATATTAATATACACTAAACACACAGAGAAGCAACTTGCGTTCACTAACTATAACCTCCATTGGTCATGTTTCACGTGTAGTAGCTTTCCTTATTTGGCTCCCTTCAGCAGAAATTTAGGCTAGGAATCAGATGAACAAACATCGAGCCAAGTGGACCAAGCAGTATGTGGTTATTTATCATATTAGAGAGGCGGCAAATGTTAAAAACAAGCTGGAAAACATCTAGACTAAAATAGGGCCCTACTTAGTTTATAGTAATCAGTAGAGTAGCAAGGCAGACTTTGAGATTACTAGGTTTGAATATGTTCTTAAAGTTCACTGTGTACTTTCAGATGTGCAACTGTTGCCCATCTTAAGGCCAACAGAAGCACACAGAACTCCCCCCATGGAGTGGAAAGAGATAAGAGCCTAAAG